CGATTTTCTGTGTACTGTTCTGTTCTAGTTTCCTCTTGTGTGTCCGGACTGTGAGTAACTCTTGTATTGTATTGTATGTATTGTACTATTAGTATATAATTTGTTACACTGTGGCTGTGTTGTGTGTGTTAAGCTGCTGTTGCACTGCAATTTCCCTCACGGGATCAATAAAGTATCTATCTATTTATATTTCAGAGAGAGATGTTACTAAAAGATTCTACTTTTTTAAATAAAGCATTCTACCTTTTCTGACATGTTTGTATTTGTTTCCTCAGAAAGAGGAATTCACAATGAAAAATCTATTGATGAGCTCTCAACTGTTGTCACTTTTGCACCTGAGCTAACTGTCTGAGGCTCTGACCTTGTTTACACCTCATAAGGCAACAAACTGTTACTGTCCAAGCATGAAAATATAGGTTTTAGTTCAGACATGCTGCTCATCTTCAAAAAGTGTTGCTCTTTCAAAAAGTGAGTGAAAGACCAGGTTAACCCATTAACTTAGTCTGTCCTCCTTTCTTTATTGCAATAAAGAAATCATGACTTGATTTATCGGAACCATGCGTGGTTTTCTTTGTGGAGTCTTAAAAGTCAGTACTCAGATAATTATTTTTAATCAGTTCCATTACTTAACAGTGCAGTCCCTCTTTACAATATATACTGCATATACACTGTAACTATTTGTAATTTACAGTGCACTGCATTTTAACCCATTTAAATATTTAAGTGGTTGCACCTGCTGCACAGCTCAATCATAATACACCTTATTTTGATGTACCACATTATAGCCAATGCAATTACAGCCAGCAAAAGTGCCTTTGTATAGTGCTACCACAACAATACTTGCCTAACAACATAGGAGAACATTTCAGTGGCTTTGGAAATACAGAACATGATCAGGTTTCCTTTACAAAATATGGCAGTACTGCCATTTTCCCCACTCCTTAACAGGAATGTAATCCGATAACGTTCTGCTTTAGCGACAGCCCTATGTAAATAGGCCTTCCCTCCCACATAGAAACAGTAGTAGTGCCAAGTTCCTGCGTTACCATGGGAACACCACACCTTCCTGCAGACTGGAATAAACAGCAACGAGTCAAAAGTAGCTGATCATCCACAAACAGGAAGTGAACAGTGATTCTGTCCTCCAGGCAGTTTCCATCTGTAATACTGGGGGTCCCCACTCTTAAATACTTGTCAGGACTTATTAACAAGAGCTCAATTGTGTTGTTTGAAACAAGTGGGGGCCAATTGTAATGGACTTTCAGGTTTAACACTCAGCTGCACGTGCAAGTTACGGTCTTCTCGCTATAGTGCCATCTGGAAATCACCTCCAGCTCTGAGCTCAATTTCAAAGGAAAAAACGTGCAAAGCTAGAGCCCAGCTGAATTTGGGCTTAGAAAGGGACTGAGGGCTCAGCACTGCTGTAATCAGCCCTGCATAGGCCTCTGAAACAGAACATTCCAATAAATCTGGTCAGCACATTAATATATAATGTGGTATATAGGCCACATGACTATATAATTAGGCTGCCTCATGTTTATATATAATGTCCCCAACAATTTAATGTTAGTTTTTAATTTAAGAACTGAATTTATCCTTAAATATACCAGATAAGGATACAAAACTACTACCATGACTATTTGCAAATGACGATCAAATAACCAGCAGCTGCAAGATTGAATTTGAGGGCATGTATTAAAGAGGCTGTCATTTCCACTGATGTAAATTCACAGACTGATGAGTGATATAGATTTGGAGATCCTGTAAACATCTCTATCGCAGTTTTATGTATAGAGTAAATTGCACTTCATCTGTTTTTGCTTTAACGTACCCTTATATTTGCCCAACTAATTTACACTCCATATGTCCAGTTACCCAATATTTTTTCTCCCCCCCCCCGTGAACCACAAATAGAGGCCCCTCACAGTAACAAGACAAACCTATTCCATTGGAAACCAAGCTATGACAGAACATCCAAGCCTTAGACTTCATCTAAATACACACTGACTGCATCTACTTCATTTAATTGACCCAGTGAGTCTGCACTCCCTCAGTGGTTGAAATAGCCCTTTAAGCCAAGGCATTGCCACATATGACCCCCCCAAGAGGCTATGTCCCCTACTAAACAAGGAAGAAATTAAAGTGCTCAAATGGAACAAGCAGAGGTGGTGTTCCTCAGGACTTACAACCAAGCATACAAAGACAAATGAGGACAAATTGTGGCAACTAGGACAGTTTATTTAGCAGATGGACCTAATCCACAGTACCCACACCCCAAGTGATTAAGCATGCTCTTGCCAGGAGCCCTTCCGCCACATCCCAGTTTCCAGCAGGGAGATTCCCTCCATACCATTGGCCATACTCGAGTCTGGAGAGCCACTCTCCAGTTCAGCGGAAGGACGCTGCATTGGATCAAGGTCACCATAACCTTCAAGTCCACCATCGGAGCGTTCAGCCCCTTGCTCCTCCCATTTCACACCCTCAGACTCAGGCTCCTCCTCCGCAACAAAGGGAGAATCCCCCATTTCTCCCGCCAGCTCCTCATCCCAGAGCTCCTCAAGGTCACCGCTCAGGGGACCGGTCCCGGCACTCCTCTGCCCTGGGCCAGGCTGAGCATCTGCTTTCGCCTCGAACCAGATGGCTCCCGTGTCATCCCATGACGGCTGGGACTCTTCCGTCTCGAGAGCAGCGGCGGCTTCCGTCTTCGGCATGGCTGTCGCAGCCAGGGAGGCTTGGTCAGTGACGAGCAATGGGCCGCTGCTCTCAACACCTGGAGTGCAAAGAAAGTGTTGGAGGATGGAGTTCCAGAGACCTCTGTGGGAAAGCGAGAGGAGCTAAAAAGAGCCACTTACCAACCGACTTGGATCTAGTACCTGGAGCAAGGCATGTGGAATCACAGCAAGCACAGAGAGGATCGTTACCAGGTTCAATTCCCTTCCACCTAAAGGGGAAGGATGTTTAGCAGGACTACAGACTTCAAAAAAAGGGTTAAGATATGAACTTTGGATTGCCATTTTGAAATCGGCAAAGATTGTCCCTCTACTAGTGCAAAGCACATGGAGGTAAACACCTTCTCTACTTAGAAAGTCTCCTAGTTACCTTCTCTCTTGGCCGTTGTAGGTGCAGGATTTGGCGATATTGTTGTCACCACCCGTGGCAATAAACAGCTTGCAATGAAGATAGATCTAGGGGGGAAAAAGACTGGTAAACCAGAGCTTGCTACAGGACCTCCTGTGAACACGAGTTGATGGGCAATACACACCTCAGATGTTGGTTTTGAGCTGAACTGAAAAGCATCAATGGAGAAGTTTATGGTATCGTCAGTTCTTGGCGATATAAATTTGGAGCCACTACCTTCAACTTTGCTGTCTACCATGCACCTACAGTAGAAAGATGTTCAAGTTAAGGAACGCATGTTTTACAAAGTGATCTATAGGCTTATTTAAATTTACATTACTAGCTTCAGACATTGGTACATTTTAAAATTCCTCTTGACTTGAAATATTTTAGAAGCAGTTTGCTTTAAAAAAAAACATTAAAGCTCAAGAGGTTATGTTGGAAAGCTTACCCATAGTTATCAATGACCATGTATCTAGGACTGGAGTTGGGATCCTCAGACATGGTTGCAACACAGGATTCAATATAAATCTTTTCCCCTGCAGAAATCTGGAGCCCGACCACCTGGAAGTTCACCACTTGCCCCAGACTGTACACGTTGGATGGAGCACTTGCTGTCCAGGCAGCTGGAACAAGTTTAAGAGCACTAGCTCAGGAAGAGATCCTTCAAGGGCAAATGGGTACACAGTCATACATCAGAGATGAAGACACTGGGGCTAGAGAACTGGTCTCATGAATTCCTCAAGCCCTGAAGGAGTTGTAATGTCTTGCTCAGTATTCAGTAGTTGAGAGTAAGAGAAGCAACACTACAGGACTAAGATTAACCTGGCAGAGCTGCAAGAAGCAGGAAAGGCTACAGAACTGGATGCCAAGTGTATACTGCCACTACACAAAGCAGGGTGACCCAGTGCTCATTATTGCTGTAACGCCTCACAGCTCCTGGATTCCTACCATGTGCTCAAAAAGCACTGCAGTTGGGTTTGACAGGCTGCCCCTATAAACTTATAATGGGGAGGAATCTCATATTTGGTGTGGGGGAGGGGAGATTAAATACTGAAGAATAACCCAAATTAACTTGACAGGCTGACTGACTTCCTCACCAGCAGGGGTCTCCCCTACAACACAGAACTCACATCTACATTCCTTAACTGTGGAAGACCAGTTTCTCTACACCAGCAATGGATGCCCTGCAAGAGGCTTACCGTTCATGGATCTTATCTCATATCCTGCCCGGCTCTGCAGGATCTTTACTGGAGCAGGATGCCAGGTAGGGCGCACTGCAACCTGGTAGACATGATGATACCTGTAGAAGACATTGGGCTCTCTTCTAAACAGCCTGTTGGAAGTACCCTGAAAAGGATTTCTCTTCCTACCCCCCCCTTCACTTCATCCACCTAAAATACACCCACTATGCACCAGCAGCTCACCTCTTATAACGGCACTCAATGTCAACATTCACCAGATGAGCTCTTCGAATGGGGCTGTTGCTGCTTTTGGGCTGATAGCGAAGGATCATCTTGTAGATCAGGTATCCCGGAGGCATCTTTAAAACGATTTAAAAAAAAAAGAAACCACCTTTTCAGAGCAGCGAGAACTCAGACACCAAGAAGCCACCCAGCTCAACATGCTGGCTTCGTCCCGCACAACCGCTATGCTTTTATATCAGTGAACCGTTTCAGTAGGGTTTAATTCCACCGCGCCATACATATCCCTCCCCACCCCGAGACGGGCTAAACAGAAGCGCAGAGATCCTTACGAAGCGCTTGCTGCCGCAGTTCACCAGCGGGTAGGTGAAGAGCAGATCGCCCGAGGGATGGTGTGCGCCGTTGCTCCTGCAGCTCGGTCCCAGCAGGAGCTGATCAGAAGAGGCCCCGAAACCGTAGAAGGCTTTCTTGACCCTGACGCTCAGCTCCGTTTCCGTGCAGAGGACGGAGACATCCGGGAGAGGGCCAGCCGGCGGAGATGTGGGTGGCGGGGTGCGAGGGACGAGGAGCTGGCGGATACCAGGCGGCAGAGTCGCGTTGGAGACGTCGCCGGGCACGGGTCTGAGCGCCTGAAGGGAGGGCGGGCTAGAGAAAGCCACACCGAACCGGGGGATGGGGATGGGGAGCCCGCTTTTGGACAGCCGCCTCACGGCGCCTAATCTTTCTTTAAAGCTACTCTGCAGATCGGCGTCTGCCGACATTTCCGACGACACACCCCCGGAGAAGCCTTGATCGCCCGGCGAGTCATCGTTGAGTTCAGACCTCTCAGCAATACTAGTTGAACGTGCAAATCCTACAATACAGGCCCAAAGAATAAGGTTCATCGTGGGACACGGGGAGACAACAGCGAGTTGTCTTGTAGCAAGTCGAAAAAGGGTCATGAAGTCCAAAAACCTAATACTCTAATCCGCTCCCGAGGAGCTTGTTATAAGCCGCTCAATCACGCGTGGAGCGTGGAGAAGCTGCGTTCTCACGTGCCTTCTGCAATGTCTCAGGTGTGGAAATGCGCTCATCAGTGAGAGATTCACGAAGACAATTGCCCCGTGCAATACTGTTGCCGTAGGAGCCCCAAGCCTCTCAAAAGTAACTTTATAGAACACAGCCATGTTTAGTGAAGTTCACACACAAACATCTGCCAGAGCATCAGAGATAAAAATGAACGAGGTCGCAGCATGGTTTTTAATGTGTGATTTACGGCACTGAGACTGTTGAATGAACTGCGGTGATGGTTCAGCAGCTCCATAGCGGCACGTTATATATAAACCCTCTGAAAACTGTGCAGTAAGAAGCAACAGCTTTTGAAAAACTTCTTTGGAGCGTATTTTAATTGCCTTTTTTTTTGCAAACCAAGCTGTATGTTAGCAGATGTGAATCCCTTTGTCGGATTAAAACTACAGAACAAACCACCAGCCTTTCCAAATTATAAAGCCAATAGAATATTGCATTCAGCAACTCTCTGTTAAAGTTTTCTGCCTTGTTTCTACCTCATTAAGTCATTAAATCGAATGTGAGATTTGCAAGGGGATTGCAATTTTCGTTTAGCCTGGCCCATCCTTTACTTTACATTTTAATGAAATATGACCTGCTGTCTCGGGGGGGAGATACATCTTTATGGTTTTAAAGCATTAACAATAACACCATAAGCGAGTATAAGAAGAAGACGCGAGAAGAACGCACGACTACTTCGAAAAAAAGTTCAAATGAGCTCTAGCTGTGTGACACGTTTAACTGCTCTGAATATAATATTGATGTTTTTTTAATTACTTCCTTTCCTGAAAAATGTGAACTTGATGTTCAAGAACACGAGATCTCTGCGTTCGCATTTGAACGTCTGTTAGCAGAACGGCGGAGAGGGGTCCTGCAGTTTGTATTTTCTCTGCCGAAAGCCACGGCGCTGAACACGCATGTTTCACCTCACATTTAGGAAAAGATTACCCGATTGATGAAAACATTTGCACGCTGTAATGAATAGTGGGTCTGCCCTATGTCGTTAATTAGAGACAATCACCAACATTGCTAATTCGCTGTGCTATATAAATGCTCAAGAAGCACAACGTTCTTTAGTTGAGATTTTCTATTTGATTAGGTGTTCAAATTAAACTCATTCTAGTTTTTTTCTTAATTTAAAGTGAAATGGGGTTATGGGGCGTCTTTTCTTGCTTTTCGGTAATATGGTTGGTTACTGTGGTAGGAGTAGAGCTAGCAGACGATCCGCTAAACGTCGTTTTGGATGATTATAGATCGGATGAGATTAGCTACCGGCAAAATAACGACTCGAAGCAAGATGTTCTATCGGGGGCCAAAGCACCACGGTTGACGCGTCCACCTTCTGACCGTCCTGTGCCCGTGGCTGTCCATCTACCCAGCCCTGACCAGGCTAAGGCGAAACTGAAACCGGCCCCAGGAAATCTACCTGTACCGGAGTACATCCAGGAAATCATGTTTCCTCCACAATCTCTCCCCGGACCGGCGCCCCAACGGCCCCGGGAGGGCGGCAGCGTCCGGGTGTGGTGCCGACAGTATAAAATGCACATCCGGGTTCGGAAGAACCTGTTCGGTTTCAGGTGCGGAGCTGAGGAGCTGACGCTGGGGTCGGGCTGTAAGAGCAACGCCGCCTCCCGCCACTACATCGTCTTTAACTACGGGCTCCACGAGTGTGGGAACACCCCGTCGGTAAGCGTCCCAGCGGCGGGTTAGCGAGGGTCGGTGCACCGCGCCTGTTCTGCAACCCCGCATTCTTAATTCGCTTGCTTCTACCTCCGCTGCGAGTTTAATTGAGGGGACACTGGCATAAAAACGTGCCCGATGTGTGGTCTTCATCTGATTAATTACAGAAGTATGGGGAAACCCATTGGGTTCTTGGCAGGGGTTGTGTACCCATGACCTGGGTGGAGTTCAGTTTATTATTTCCCCACCCAGATTGTCAAAGGGCAGCTAGTGTACTCCAACGTTCTGCGGTACGTGCCCTCCGTGGCCGAGGGGCAGGTCCGCCGATCGTTCCCCTTCACGGTGCCGATCCAGTGCCACTACAACCGGTAAGTGACTGACCTGTGCACGGCCAGCCTGGTCCCGTATCCGGGGGTGACCCCATGAGCCCTTTCCCTCTTGACTGGCTCTGTCCCTGCAGATACCAGCGGGCTTACAAGGTTGGCTACCATCCGGTGTGGCCTCGGCGGTCCTACTTCAGGCATCTCCAGAACAACCACAGCTTTGTCCTCACCACCACCGATGGTAAGAAGTCTCTTAGTGTTTGGTGACCTGTTGACCATGTGGAGGAGGGATTCAAATCCACAACCACATAAAGGATGCATAATTATCCTTACACTTCTGTAGTGCTGTCCTGATAAAAGCATTTTACAACTAATGGGGACTCTTCTCCTCCCACCACCAGGTGGTGGTGGTGGTGGTGGTGGTGGTGGTGGAGGAGATTCAGCCATAGTGTGCCAGTATGCTCGCTACACACCAGTTATCAGTGGGGAGGAGAACAGAGTGACAAGGCTACTTGACAGAATACTGCCTTAGTAGAGATGGGAGATTCAGACATCCTCCACAGATGGTGTCTTTGCTCCCTGCTCCAGCTCGCTGGGACAGACTCTCCTCCAGGATCACCTACCTCCTGGGCCAGCCCGTGTACTTCCAGGCTGTGGCTCCTTTCATCGCGGAAGGACAAAGGCTCTTCATCCACTCCTGTTATGCAACCAACTCTCCAGACCAGCAGGCCGAGCCCAGATTCACTGTGATTGACAATCTGGGGTAATGGCCACGGGTAGGGGGAGCAGGAATGGGCTGTGGTGTGCGTGTGTGCCGTAACGCAGTGTTGCTTCTGTGCTCCTTAGCTGCATGGTGGACAGCAAGCTGTCGGGCTGCCGGTCCAGGTTCCTACCCAGCAAGAGGAAGGATGTTCTCCGCTTCAGCGTTGATGCCTTCACCTTTGACAGAAAGGCTGACAAGGTAGCTTGATCTTGGTCTCAGACAAAATTAACCAAGACCCCTCCATTCCCAGCAATATTCCTTTCCCCAAGCAAGGTCTACCCAGAACCGTTTTGGAGACCAGTGTTCCTTCCGGTGTACTTCTGCCACCTGCTGGCAGAAAGTGGGTTATGCATCTGTGAATGTTTGGCCACATTACTTTAGTTTCGTCACTGTCACTTCCTGAATCTATATGCAAAGGGTATTGGTTTTAATATACCTCTTATTCACCCCATCTTCTCCCCCCGTGCATTTTCAGAAAACTGAGCTTTATATGCACTGCACTATGGCTGTAGCCAATGAAGGTGCAACACCAGGCACTAAATCCTGCACCTACAATAGAAGGAAGCAAAGGTGAGTTTCTAAAATCTGTATTGTTTTTAGTTTGGAGCCCCTTGATAACTGCACTCTTTCTGCAGGTGGGAGGAGCTGTATGGTGACCATGATGTGTGTAGGTGCTGTGATGCAGTGTGCTCAGGAGGTCGGGGCACAGGTCAGTCACCAGCAAGCAGGAAATGCATACCTTGTAAAACAGGCCAGTTGCCCCAACAGTGTGGGTAACAAGGGAGCCACTTTAATCTGTGGCTGGAAAGGTGGTGCAGAACTTGGAGGGAGTGGTCCTGTTGCATTTCTCAAATAAGTGGTCTCTAAGGCTCTTCCATGGAAATGGCTACCCAGTAGATGGAATTACCCTTGAGACTTTTCTTTCATCTTCCAGATGACAATAGAACAATTACCAGTAAGATGGTTCCTATTGAAGCTGTGAAGACCAGTGCCACACCTCTCTATCGGGAACACCTAAGCTGGCTGACTGGGGAGGAGCAGGACCGCTGGGAAGAAGAGGCCAGTGACCAGTGGGAGGCTGTAGATCCGGAATCCTGAGAGTGGTATTGGCATAATTGCCTCATGTGTCTTTCTAGGGTTGGGCTTGAGTTATTTCAGGGTTTAACTGAGCTGCTTCATTTTTCAGCATAAAACTTTGAACTGTAACTTCAGATTTGTTTTTTGTTTTGTTTTTTTCCCCCGTTTCAGAAGATAACACCTTGGCCCTTAGACCACATCAGTGAAAAGGGGAAGAGTTTCTCTCATGCCTTCATGTTCTGCAGAGTTGCACTTAGGGATTGGCTCAGACACAACCGGCTCTGTCAAGGGTCCAGGGTCAAGACTCCCGAAGTAAGGAATTACCCTGCATCCTTAATGCTGCTGAGGGCTTGTGCCACTTCTGCTCTAGCTAGGGGATGGATAAACTTCATTCTTCAGAGCAAGAATATAATCCACAGGTGGAAACTATACCATCACTGCAGAAAATAAAATCTTTGAACTTCTTTTGAAAAGGCTCAATGCTGCACTCTTTCATGTTTAAGGGGCATCTGTTAGTATCGACTTGACCTGCATTATTGCACCAGCATCCATCTGAGTATTTCCTAGGAAGGCTTTGCTTCCACGTACCAACATTGTGGGTTTAGCTTCGGCCATAAACTCAGTTTACTACTTGGTTCATCTTCCATAACTGCACCCTTTATTATTAGAAGACTTGTCAATATCAAACAAAAACAACTCCTGGACAGAATTAATTTAATTACAAAATTAGTCTTCATGTTAAACATCATAACCACACCAGCTGAGCAAGTATTTACACTATGTACAATAAGAAGGGGTACAGTAATGACCTCTGTCTTCAAGAGCTGCTCTAACGAAAGTTCTCTCTCCTCCTCTCCCTCCCCCAAAAGAAAAGCAGCCCCTAGCAGATGGGGGGGGGGGGAACAAGTTGAGGGACAGTTTAGATCAAGTAACTGCTGCCATTGCAGACTGTAGATCTTGGTGCTTAAGCTTCTATCCATTCAAAGCTCCTGTTTGATCAATTTGGTCTTGAATTCTGCCACAGGGAGCTCCAGCCCTGGTCCTGGAGTGCCCCAGTCCAATTATTCTTCTAGGTCACCTTCAATCACTTCAGTAAAGATTAAGACACTTGTTGCAGTAATTGTTCACTTACATGTTTCAATGAAGGGAACTAATACTGAATGGAACACCATACCTGTTTAAACAGTTCAGGATTTACCACCAGTTGATTCAAAGGGTATCTATAAAACCCACTGGATTGGAACTCCTCTAGACCTGGGCTGGAGAACTCCTGATGTACATCTTAAACTGTTAACCTCTGAGTTTAAAATAGTCAGCCTAGTGTCTTTGGTGAAATGTAAAATGATGTTGCACTCCTTTTTAAGCACCTACTGGTTTAAAGCAGAGTTGTCCTCCTGTTGGTTGTAAGACTGTTCTTATGCAAAAGAGTCTGGCACTTGTCCACTGAAGAGTAGAGTATTACAGACAGGGAAGAGTCAAAGCAATTCCCCGCCTGCTTTAAGACGAGCCAGTGTGGGCTGAGGCCGTCTTCTCCAGAATGGTCCACATACTGCGTGTTTCTACAAAATGTTGCCTTCTTCAAAGGCATAAACATATGTATAACATATGAAGCTGTAATATAATATATATATGAAGTTTCTAATTTCCATACCTTTTAAAGATATGAAATCTCTTCTATTTGTGAAACATCCAGCAGCTACCACATCATTAGGCTCTCCACAGTCACCACTAGTAACTATCCATCCCTGGACGCAGTTACCATTTACACAAGACAATTATAGCCCCCTCCTGTCCCACCAACTTACAGTAATTTTCTTCCCCAAAACTGCAAAATAAATATTAGAGTTCTCTAAATTTGTTTTACCTTTTTCCCTCACATTTTTCCAACTTATTTCTCAATTATTTGTGAAGAAGTATGAAAGAGCTCATGTCAGCAGACACGGAGGCTAAGATTTACGTAAACCTTCTCAGTAAACAATATGGCCAAGGGCTGGATACCCTGTGCTCTGAACATGCAGTCTTTTCAGGGAATATTGGTTCCAGCAAAGATCAAAAGTGCCATTAACACAGCAACAGGGGCTCCATAGAAATACCTCATTTTACAAGTGGCACTCCCACCCACAGCTTTCAGAGAGCAGTTGGAGAAGCCTGTGCATCATGCATAAATAATAAATACAAGGAAGCCTACGTAACACATTTATAAAAGTAGGAGCAAGCAGGTCCTACTTACACAAATTGTTCCAACTCGACAGGTTTCAGTTCAATAAATACTTCACTCGGGCTCCTGCCTTCCTCTTTTCACGCCTTCCAACTTTTAGGACTTACTCCCCACTCTAAACCATTCACTTATAAGTGCTTCAAGCAATTCCCGAGAAAGGGAAACATGATCTATAGTTAGTCAAGGTCAATATTAATCCAAAACTGAAACATCCAGCTGCATAAACATGTTTATCGTAATGCACTTGGCAGTAACCAGATGCTGGAAATGCAGCAGCAGGACAGTGGGCAATCATTGTCATAAACCTGAGGCTAAGGTTTCTTAAGCATTGAATCGTACTGTGCAAATATTGTACATAAAGGGAGTTTCTTGCTCCCACAGTTTGTCATATATTTGTATTAAATTGCTGGTTAGTTCTGCTCTCACCAAAAGCATTTACCCTGCCTGTGAGACTCAGACTTTGCGTTTATTTGATTGCAGTTGCCTTGCTTGTTTGGCAGGTTAGAACGGGTCGCTCCTCTTTCAAAATCGCCCACCCACACTACAAGGAAACGAACACAGACAAGACGAGAAATACAGTTGACGTCCATTCCGTGTCGCTCAGATTTCCGAGCTGCGGAAGCCCATGTGCGCTGCAGGCCCAGGGCTGGTCAGGTTCCGTTCTGCTCTTTTCCCGAGCTGGGCTTTAAGCAGCAGTGCTGGCCAGAAGTGTTTTTCTCTCAATCCCCCCCCCCCTCCGTTTCGTAGCTAAACTCTCGCCGCCCAGCCAGGACAGACCCATCGCCTCCACCATCATCCTGTGCAACGTCCTAGGTGTCCCCGTGCTGGCTGAGCCGCCATTACACTGTGCTTCCCATCTCGTGTGAGTCTGTCTCCGAGTCCTGCTCGCTTTCCCTGAGGGAGCAAGAACCACAAGAAGACTTCGTTAGACCCCCTAATGCAGAACTGTCCCTTCTAGCCTTGGTTCCAATCTCAGTTGTCCATTAAATAATTAACCAAATTACTTATACATTAGACTTATGTACAGGATTCTTCTTGAATACTTTTACATTTGATTGAATTAGAACATTCACTCTATTACAGGCAAAGGTACCAATAAAACCCCTCAGTTATTGTTTAGAAGTAAACACTTAAACCGGACATCGCGTTGCGATCTGGCGGCGGTTCCCCTCACCGCAGTTCCTGCAGCAGCTTGCGGTTGCCCTGGCGCGTCTCCTCGTCGATGGGGTACAGCTTGAAGATGATCAGGCCCAGGATGATCAGCACGATGGGCGCCGGCGAGATCAGCATCCGGAGGGTTAAATTCACGGCCTCTGGCTGTGTGCAGCCTCTCGTCAGGTATCCAGCAAAGCTACAGCAGTGAGAACGAAAACAAACGTGAGGTCACAACAGGGATAGTCAAGTTTCACATGTAACTGCAGGATTGATCCACTTGCATACCGTTTAATACAGATACAGCGCAGGGCCAAGCGCTTATGACCCGCCAAACACAGAGCAGACGCTTTCAAGTTAATTCATCCCATTTTGTATTGAGCTATCGGGCCAATCCCAATTTTAGAACGTGGTAAAACAAAAGACAAAGCAGTAGCTAGAGCTTCTTTAAAGATCTTTTAAGAATGCATCAATAGGTAAAACGGAGTTCAAAGAGTTGATTTCAAAGAGAGCCTGGCTTAGGCATTAAATGTTAACCTCATCAATCAAGCCCAGACATTTCCAGCTCTCGAACGCAGAGCAGCTCCTCATCTGCAAGCAGTGTTAAACTGGTCCAACTGAGGTCCCATCTGAACCTCTTTAGATTTTCTCCATGGCTTAAGAAAACCTGTGGGATTCTGGACACTGATGGCCAGAGATGGGAAGCACTGGTTTAGCTCATGAACACCGGTAATGTTGGAGACAGTGTGCTTTCCACTCAACTGAACGGAACAAGACATCACATTCTGCTGCTGTAGGTGCTCAAAAGGGAAGTTTCAGGAGACAGTTCAGCTGCAGGAGTCAGATCTGGCCTTGTCACACCAGGCACACCTGATAGACTGAAGAGGCTGTACCTCTTCAGCATGCTTTTTCCTGGGTTCTGAATCAACTGCGCTGCAACAGGAGTCTGGCCTTTCAAACTCATCAGCTTCCAACAGAGGCTTGTAAGGCGCCAGACGGCGCCGCAGTGCGGAAGCAGAACCCAGAGTCGGAAGGTCAGAGGAGCCGCCAAGCGGACGTGAAGCTGGTACACGGGTCGGGAGGTTCGGCTGCACTCACTCGAGACTCAGCGTGGAGATTCCCAGGGACACGCCGGAGGCAAATTTGGTGAAGAAGACGTAGAAGGAGTAAAAAATAGCCTCGTAGCCCCGGGAGTCGGGATTTTTCACCTTGAAATCATCCACTACATCTGGAAGCATGGACCTGCCAGGGACAGAGATGACCCGTTAGATGCAGACCGGCTCTCGACGAGTCCGCACCACACGTCCTTGCTAGTTCATGAAAAAGGTCGTGAACTCTTATGCTCCGAGTGTGAAGGACATACGGATGTGCACTGCATAAAAAGGCATTTGAATTGTGGCCAAGAGTTTCAACTACTGCAGGGCAGTAGGTGTGGGTTTCACAAAGTTACTCACCAGGGCAGGAGGAAGGCAGCAGCCACACTGATGCCAGCAGCAACAGACACCACGTAGGCCACGATCAGATTGCTCTTAATGGAGACGATGAGGATCATGAAGGGAACCACCCACTGCAGGAATCAGGAGGGACAGCAGTCACTCGGAGGCCCCTGGCACAGCAGGACTCACGCGTGTTCTGGCCGGGACTTGAGACCTTGGCGGGCCGTCTTCCGTGTGACGCTTGGTATCATTTTGCTATTTGGCATTACGGTATAGCTGCTGCGCTGTCCGACCACACTGAAGTGAGGGACATCTCAAAAAAGCTGACCAACTGTAGCAAAATAAGTCCATGCCCACAGTCTACACACCAGCCTTCGGTGGGACCCTTCTCATCAGATTGCTGTAGGGATCGTACCTCTAGAATGTGAGGGCAGCTCATTTTACTGCAGGTGCCTCCACTGGGAGCAGCTGCTCAGCTACACCTATGCTGTCCCCTGCTGCAAAGCGGAGATCAACCACTAGAGGGCACCATTAGCCAGTGCTGAACTGAGGCGCTCTCTGGCGGTTCGCTCGAGTAGTTACTAATACAACTGTGCTGATCAGGTGTGAACAGGAGGGGGCACCACTGAGCTTATTTCTCTAGGGACATGGGTGATCCCACTCTACAGCAACTTCAATATTATCCTATAGCAATTAGTGTACAAGGGAAAAGGGACCAGCTGACCCCAGCATCACCAGAGCACTCACCGAGATCCCAACATACACAGCGGTCTTCTTCCCAAATCTGGTCAGGAACCACTGCCAGAATGGAATACTCAAGGTAGCAGACAGCTGCCAAAATAAAATAAAAAAAAAAAGATACTGCTTTTATTTTCCGGAACCGGCATTCAAGGCAGCCGTGAGGGGCAGCGGCCAGGGCTCGGCGCTCATATCTAGAAGGCTGTGGGTTCAGCCCCAGGAAGGATCACTGCTATCATACCCTTCAGACTGCTCCAGTAACATGCCCACTTGTGTAAATGGACAGAAAAGCGCTCTGCTCTGAATAAAAGCATCAGTTAGACACCCAGGGCATGTGCAGTGAGCCATTCTGCACTTTATGTAACGCAGCAGGGAGTACTCAAGGGCTTTCTGCGACCTTTGACCTTGTCACAAAGGCCCTGGCCTGCCACTGGGCTTTTAAAGGAGCACAGAAAGGCCAAGGGCTGTTCATATGGAAAATGGCTTGCAAGCACACAGAGCTACTAAGGTTTGCTTTGGAGGGGGAGTTGCACTGTGAAATAGGCGTCACTGAAGCACATGCCTGAACACTTACTAAACTGAACTTCACATTCATTCTTCTGCCAGATTTTCAAACACTCTGAAGTTCAAGTTCCAGAGGAACACAAAACCACACGCATGGAGAAATAGTTTTTTTCAACAGATGTTATTCTGGAGTGTGCCGACACTCAGCCTTTAGTAAAAAAAGAAATCAAACCGTTTGAGTATTCCCCCACAACAAAAGACAAAATGATTTAATGCCCCAAAAAAAAGAATTCCAGCAAATCCAGTCTATATTCCTACAAAAAAAAACAGGTGTGACTCCAAAGACAGTTTAACAGCCCCTACTGCTTTGCTTTTAACATCATGGATAAAGGTTAGCTATTCCCTTCAAAAGTACATTCTTCAGCACTAGGTTTGTAAAGGCCACACACCCATTGGGGTCTTAAAGCAGATCAGAAACAAACTTAGTAATAATGTGCAGCAACAGCTTTCATCTTCAAATCCCTCCAGTTCCCCTAGAGCTCAAATCTACCCTCCACCCCATACCAGCCCCCAGATGGAACCAGCTGAGATTAAAAAACAAGGTACTGTCGTTGCGTTGGCCCTGTACAAGCTTGAACAACCCCAAAAGATCTATTTTGCATGACGCCTGGCCCCCTCGAACCCTGCCCCCATGCCCATCCAGTACTAGCATGATGCAACACCGCCCCAACAAAAGAAAACCCCAAAGCAAAGTTTCCATGGCCACGCTGACCGATGGGGCTCCAACAAAGCCACCACTGTTCTTCCCCCCCGCCTTGCTGCGCCCCGCTACTTTTAGAGGTTCCCATCAGCAACAATAGCAACTCCTTTCACCCTTCCACAGCCCCTCTTGGCTTCCAAAATGAATTAAAGCGACAGACAGCCCCACCTACTTAGCCAAGCCACTCTGAGAGACGCTGGGCTCTGCAGACTGCACTGCAGAAGGAGGGCGGGGTGTTAGAGGGTGTCCTTTCAGCGGGGGATTAAAATCAAATTGTTTCTAGCCAGAGTCTGACCACAAATCTCCCAGTGCTGCTCTCCAGCTTGTCCTGAAACTATCAATTGAGTGCCAGCATAAAATGCTTACAGGAGCACACAATGTAATTTATTCTTGTTCTGGTATGCAGTGCTTTCCTAGCTATGACACACAGTACCTTGGTACCCAGCATACCAGCATGGCCTGCAATGCTTTCAATGAGAAAAATGTAACAATACAGGATACAAAAAGATGCCTGTTTGTTGAAACCCTAGTAATTTTCTCAGGCTTTGGCTGATACTTCTGGGCTATGGCCTTTCAGAAGGTTACGTCTGCATACCCTTCTGTACAAAACAATTCAGCATGGAGGATTCCTGAGAATATGGATACAGACTTAGCAGGAGTAGGAACGATGCAATTCACGAATTTGGAAAAACTTTTTTTTTTTAATTCTTTGGTACAATACATATTTTGATAAGATGCAGTCGGAATGAATTAAGACTTCATTCGTCTTTAGTTGGGAAAATTATTTTTTTTTACAAATATTGAGTTCACCATACGTATAGATACTTCTTACATCCTGAGCTAACAACTTCACGGTCAGAAGCACACAAACGCTTTAGTTATGTTATTTCAGAATACAATAACCCCTCCAAGGTAAAGACAAACCAATCAAATATAACCCAAATTCTTAGGAAGGAAGTTTGGAAACTTCAGAGAATGAGTCAGACTCTCTAGGATCAACTCATGGAGTTGAGATCTCATTGATTCTTCCTGGAAGCTTATGAAGCATGTGCTTCAGCAAGCACAAGACTTGCACAGCCAGGTGGGAATGGATGGTTGGGATCAGTTTTCCTTGAACAGCCATTGATTGCTTTTCCCCATGGAACGGCCTGATCCCAGGCCTGAGAAGTGTGTGCAAGACCGCAGTCTTTACAACTCATCTCCACCGGCGAGGTCTTACCATGATGGCCAGCAGGATGTTCTGGAAGTCGTTTCTGAAGCCCAGGGTGTAAGAGCAGAAGAGAGCAAAGTTTCCTTCCAACAGCTGACAGACAGACAGAGAGGGAGACACCAATTTAGCCTTATTAAGAAATATTTAAGTTAAAAAAAAAAGAGAGAGCAGAAAACTTTTCCATGTTGGCCAAGTAGGAATATCCAGTCCAAGTCTGGGATTGTTTTGCAAATGTCTATGGAGACATTTAGACTACGAGGAGCAGGACTGGACGGTGAACAGGAGGCAGTCTCTCGCAAATGGTGTGTCTGAGGGCAGACTACTGTGCCGCAGGATTTTGGAAAAATCAGAAATGAATGAGGAAATGAACTTGAAGAATGAATACAAGCGCCATGTTTCACCATCATCAATCTCTAAGCAGTGCAAGACACTCGGATTTCACATTGAAATAAATGTAGCTTACGATAGTAACTGAGAACAAAAATGGAAGTTCTGTGCAAGTGTGAGAAACGTTGCTCTGGACAGGAATCCAGGGAAACGTGCTGCAGCTCACCATGAAGGCCAGGGAGGTGAACAGGAAGCCGATGACCAGCTTGGCGTAAGGCCCGTGTCCCATGACCAGACGCATACCCTGGAAGAACGTCATGGGCTTCTCCGACTTGTGTCGGCCCGCGTCTGTGGAGCAGGACAGGGAAAACGGAGGAGAAGAGAAACCCAGCATCAGCCAAGAGTCCTCTGAGCTCCCTCCGATTTTATTTTTTGCTTCAACTAACCAAGCACTATAAGAAGGGACAACTCAAAGAGTGCACATCTTTTTACACATTCCAGTACAGGTCTTTGGTACAATCTGCTCTGTTAACCCTATACAGAAGCAGCCTGGTAGGAGGACTGCATGATCCCTGACCACATTCCAGTCTTTGGTACAGCCTGCTCCAATAACCCTATACGTGTATACAGTAATATATACTAAGTCATTATAAACTATTCGCACAGTAGTAAAGTGCTATTGTATGGTGAATTGGACAGTCCTCCACTAGACCTCCTTTGTATTAGCACATTCTTTAAGGGGAGTGATGGTTGTAACAGTTAAGTTTCATGCTGTCTGGTACTGAAGAACTGAACTGGATCTGTGCCCAGTTCACCTAGATCCTGAAAGTTTTTTTCACCTACAATGAGACACTCCTGTACTGGGGATTTCCTCACCTTCTACTGACTGAATGGACAAGGACTTTCTCTAGGTGTCTGCTTTCCCCATCCTTTGATAGGAGTGCAAACCCTTTCCTTTTCTCTTAATGCTCTTCTGCTACAGCATTAACACAACTCCAGTATATTTTTAAATAAGAAAACATTTCAAATGCAGGGCCATTTAGTATGCCTGCAGCCTCCTTTGTCAAGTCTTGTCGTGTTCTGCTCCATACACAAAGTAAACACCTCCAACCAAAGGAACAAAGCACAGATAAAGCCAGTTTCACTCTAGGAACAGAGATGAAAGTCATTAGTATTAGTCATCAAGATCGGAAGAGCTCTGTTCAGCTCACGGCACTCTCTGTACGGGTGTCCTGTCCATGTTCAGGATCAGATTGGCCCTTTTCCCTTCCCTCTCTGGGCAGTGAATAGCATTTCAGAGCCGACAAAGCTGTGCTTGTTTCCATTTCAGGCCCACAGCTCCACTTCATACATATTCAAGCAATGACCACAAACCGGGCAGTGATAAAAAAGAAATACTGTGGAACCGGAGTCAATTTAAAGGAATCAGAAACACTCCCTCCACCTCCTTTCTCACCAGTCTCTCTCCTGACTCTGTCTGCGATTCTCTGTGATATTTACTGCCTGCTTCAGCTTCCTAGCTCTGTCAACCACTAGGGAGGTTTGATAGTGGTGGCGCTTGGCACCCTTTAATCCCAAAATGAGCATTCTACAAGGTCAGCACACAAAGCACTGGGCTTCTGACTCCAACAAATTTCTGTCCCTAAATCCCTGAATGTAGGAGTCTGTATGTGCAAATTTCTAAGAACATAATGAAGATTCTAAGTAGTCGGAGGTCATTGAGACCATCTGGCTTGTTTGGTTACCAGAAACTAATTGAGCTCATCTTGACAGAAATCAGGATATCCACTTCAACGTACTTTAGACTCCAACAATTCTTTGCATAAAAACGCATTTTTCCTTCTCAGTTTTGAGAGCATTTCTCTGTAGAAAAAAAGAAACGATGGGTAAGGCTCCCTGAACACACTTCTTTCAGAGCCTGGCGGTCACCAGATCTGCAAGGTCTCGGGTCCAAGCAGTGTTCCTTTACCACCGCAAAGCACTAGCACACGGGAATCGGTTCTGAGAAGCCTCTCGAACTGAGTGTCTGATTCAGTCTCGCTCCCTTTTCTCCGCTTCAGCGGTCACTCCACTCCACAGGATCCGGGGACTGGATTCCCAATGGCTCTGCGTATGCTCGTCCTTTCACCGGGCATCACCTCACCGAAGGCAGAGGCCGGCTGCAGGTACTGTACTGCATCGCCGCATTCCGCTCCAGATATTCCCATTCACACCCCAGTCAGGCGTCCATGCCGCTCACCTTTCTTCTCCCGCACTCCCAAGACCAGGATGATGGCACAGAGGACGTAAATGGCACTGATGACCCCGGATGCGATCAGGTAAGCGCTTCTCTGTGTGGGAGAAAGGGAAGCACACTCAGAACATCCATCAGCCCTCCCCGGAGCAGAAGGAGGGGAACCAGGGGCTCGCGGCTCTGACAGCTCCTGCAGATCTTCCATTTAGCACCCAGTTGTAGACCTGGAACTTCTGATGCACTTCATTAATTCTATTAAGTCATTAAGGCCCAAGATGGAATGCAGACCAGAAACAAACTGGCATGGGAGTGTTGGCCACCCACACCTCTGGCCAAACAGACAAGGACTTTCTAGCCCGTGTTTCCCCATTCTTGGACAGGACTGCTGTCTCCTATCGTTCTTTTCTTGTAGTGAATGGCTCTCCTTTCTTACTGCAATAACAAGTCCAGTTTTTGAGGAAGAAAATATTTCAGCTGAAGAGCATGTACTGTATGAGCACACCTTTCTTCACTATAATGGCACAGATTACAGTATTTCTATCAGGCTCCTGTCCATCTTTTAGCAAATGCATACCTTGTAGAGAGATGAGTCAGACACCTAACAGGAAATTATGTTTCTCTCAATAAAGAGACTACCAATTAATCCCTTCCTAATGAGAACTCAGCCATGAAAGGGCAGCCATTTACAGTTGAAAATGTACCCTTTAACTGAAGAGAAAAATACACAATTAAGATGACTAAGTCACAGAACAGCTTGCAATCTTCTAATTATTTTAATGATGGAGAAGAACCACCAAACTACTGGGCTTCTACTTTAAAGCAAACGTAAGGTTATAGACAGGCAATCTAATTTGAGGAAAAAAACATTTCAAGATCAAAGTTTGACAAAATTACTGAAGCTGTGAAGGTATTCAACAGTAATTGCCCTGTGATCATACCACCACTTTCTTAAACCTTTATATGCACATAGTTCAAGATTCTAGGACAAAAATGAACAATTTAGAATTAATATAATCCAGTTGGACACAAAAGAGGATTTGATAACTTCTTGTACGCTGCCAGTTAAAATAATTAGGTCATCTAGAGATCTTGGAAAAATCATACAAAAAAAAGGACTAAACCACACCACTTACTTATGCAAAAATGATCAGCCTGATATGGAAACAGAGTAGGCTTATTTCGGGTGGACAAAAAGTAGATACTGATATACAGTTAAACTTCTGTGTCAGAATGAGTATGCATGGCAAACATAATTCTTCAAATCTCAGAAGGCAAAAGAGGAGATCTCTTGCAAATCAATGGTCTGTACCAATACTTCCTCTGTTCCCTGCATTGCAGCAAGAACGCCTTGTCAACAGAACGTCTGATCATAACCGGATCCGTCACCCTCCTTAGAACCCAATGGATCTCTTGAGAACAGCACTGGCTGTTTTGCACCATTTCCTAAATGGTGATGCACAGAACAGCCCCCAGTTCAACAGCTGAAACTCTCCGAACCGCACATCACATCTGCGATAAGAAAGTTTTCCTCCAGCTCAGGAGGGGAATTCCCCTGTGCATGCAAAACTAGGGGCTCTAAGGAAACGGCCACAAAGCACAACGGTGCATTTTTTGCTTTCTTTCCACTTTTCGGTGTGGAGCTAATCTCTATAGTAGGCCATCTTGCATCATGGGTTAGGGTTTAAAAAGCCTTACTGTTTCAGCCAGGGACACGTGAGTCTGGGTGGTGTTCATGTCAGACTCAGCAGCCGTGGAATTGAACTCCTTGACCTCATCCAGTTCCCCTCGAATACAGGGGGCATTGGAGGCCCCTACAATCTGTCCCTGGATAGCTGTGCCCAATACCGTCCCAAGCACCTCCACTGTCATTCCTGAAAAAGAGAAAAAGAGAGAGATAGAAGTTACCTTCACACAGACCCGACTCACTGACTGTTCTACATCCAATCCTACGCAGGGAGGGAAGGCCCGAGCAAACGTCTCAACAGACATTATAGGGAGCAATGTCGAACTTCATATCGAAGAAATAACAAACAGTTGTCAGAGAACCTTCTTCACCTTTAATAAGGCTCCAGGGATCATTACTTAAAACACAGGCTGAAGGCCACTTACTGTAGGCGGTGGCCGAGTCCCGCTCCTTCTGCTCCGAGCTTATGAACATGGTGAGGGCCGAATAGGGCACATGGAAACACTGCAATCAGGAGGAACAAGGCAGATTAGCACACAGCTGCGTTCTGCAGGAAGGGTTGGGGGCAAAAAAGACTGAATATCCTCCGATGTGGTAAAAAGACACGATCTAACCCAAATGTGCCGGCGGGCTCCCTGCTTGTCCTGAAGAGGGACTCACCGTCTGCAGGGTCTGGAACAGGCAGTAGCAGACGAGGTACCAGACCACCTTGCCCTGCTCAAACGCTGGGACGTACCAGATCAACATGTACGACGCCACTGCAAACGGGGTAGAGAGCAGAATCCTGCAGGGGGAAGAGAGAAATAAAAACTGCTTTCAGGCCATGAGCTGGACTGAGCCAAACCCAGTGGCTTTTTAAACCTCACTGGAATGCTGGATATGAGCAACATTTTTTAAATGTCTGGCACTACCTACATATCCAGAATGCACACTCATTTTCTATCAGGATCAGGTTATGACTGGGGACTCCACATTCTAAAAGGCATGGACATGACAGTTTGGATGCATAGAAAAAAACATGATGTCCTAACCTACGTACTTAACGACCTAACACCACAGCCATCTCAGTTATAAACGTTGGACAAAAACACAAAGTTCTTAAAAAATAAGTTTTACACCACAGAAAAGTCAGAGTCCCTGCACACCCCAGAGGTTTCTCATAAAGCCAAGAGCCCAATGTGGCATTGTGTTTAAAGGCACATAATACCCATACCTGACCATGTCACATGCTTTAAAACACAGAACCAGCTGATTGATAAATCACATTACAGGTAAAATGAATTAGCATTTAAATCCATCTCAAGGCCCAAGTGAGGGATTTGTTTCCTGATCAGCACATTGAGAATGGAGATTCCCTGAGGCTGTCCTGTAGAATCAGCCCATCTTTTCTTTGCTAATGGGTTATCCAGGTGTGGGGAGCAGCAGATGGGGTGTGCTGTTTACATTTTCACAGTAAGGGGGATAATTTGCCACCACCTAGAAACATTGCCAACACCCCCTCCCCCGAAGACCTCCACACACTGAACACACCCCTCATGAACAACTGCTTCTGCAGACATCTGTTCCAGGTGTCACTTAGAGGGAAGGAAATCGAGAGTTACAGTCACCGGCACGAACCTGAATGATCCGTACAGCAGCCTGGCAGTGTGCAAAGGGCTTTACCAGAAAAAACAGCAGGCAGGTGAAACTCCCAGCACCGGATTTGAAACGCTCCGCACTCATGAAGAAAACCACACCACGAAACAGAAAAACAATAACAAACTACATGATCATGAATACAGTTTTTCCACTGACTATGCCTCCTCACAGGATCTGAATAATGTACAGAAACATTTTAGAAATAAAGCCAAGCCCAGATTATCAGTCATCCTAACATGAGTTTTCAATTAAAGGAAAAACAACGAAAAAGGGCAGGAAAAAAACATTTCTGTTTTGTTTCTTTTTTAGGCAATTCTCCTCCCCATTTAAAGCTGTGGCATGTCAGATGTCTGGAAATGTCTTTGGACAAATGGAAAGTACATCAGCCACTCAGGATCCTTGGCACAGAGCTGTTAAGTCACACCCGGAGCTGCGACATACCCTGGGAAAGACACCAGAAACCAGAGTCCTGGAGCTGATGGAGGCTCCAGCCCTTCAACCTCCCTGATTAATGAAAGTCACCCCAGCAAACTCACAGGGAAGCCGAGCACAGAGTGGACAGGCAGTAGAGAGGAGCACGGTAAAGACCCTCTTGTTCGAGGAACTTCGAAACACACGAACTGAAAGAACATGAGAGGCAAAAAAAAAAAAAACAGCTGCTAGGAGCTGGCAAGAACAAAACATGAATTCGCAGAATCCATGGAAGTCTGGGGGATACGATCTCCTCCTGTAGGCACAAAACGTCTTTGGGTCCTCCTTTCTACACTTGGGGGGTGGGGGAGGAGGGAATGGGCAATTTCAGAATTGCATTTCTGTCCAAACAAAATTTGGCCTTGGGGAGACAATTCGCTAGGAAAGAATAGAACCGCATCAGTGGACTGCATGGCAGAGGACTTGAAGCCAGCCAGATCTCGGCTTTCTGGAATGAGGGAAGGACCTGTCATAAGCTCAAGTCGTGAGGTAAGGGCTGCCAAATTCTCAGAAATCTCACAGCAGCAGGGGACCAGGGAATCGTGTCTCCCAGGAAAGAGGCAAACTCCATCTCCCCTGCAGGAAGAAAGCGTCCATTTTTCTGGCGCCTTTCTCGCACTGCTGCCAGCGCTGCAGCAGTAACTCCACCATCAGCACAGGAAAGCTGCTCTGTGGAAACCGGCCAGTACCACTTCCAGGATCACGCCTGCTTTTCCGGTTGCTCTATGAACATCAGTGACGTTGAAGTATGCGACGCAGAAGGCACACTGCGCAACACACTCCTTTTAAAGCTAAATGTTCCCTCCCATGACCTCATGCTTCAAGGTCACCAGAAGCACATGTTGCCAGACATGAGCAACTCTGAACTCTCACTTCCGCCTCTTCCAAAACGAACAGGAAAGAACCGCACGGATCTTGCTAAAGATCTGCGTGGGCACATGGCAACACTGAGGAAGGCATTTACTGAGAAAAAGGGGACACAATTACTCTGATTGAGATTCTCAAGGTTTAAAGAATAAAGACCACCTGCCAAGATTTCTAATTGAAGAAATGTCAGACTCTGCTGTACCCCTTATGAGCTGGAGAGCTCAATTCAAAGCAAGAAAGGGCAAAATAAAACAATTCACACTGAAATTTTTCAATCATTTTCCAGTAGAATGGAGCTCACAGAAGAAGTTGCTCTGGGGATTTATATTAGCTTGAGCTGTACACATCTAAATTAAATCTGGAATTGAATTGGACCCTTGTCTGAGCGACCTCCTTTGATGAGGAGGTGATGGAAAAGTTTTACAATGGATTCCCACTCTAAATTCTCACCTCTCTCCTGATGGAGATCTGAACTCATTGCGTAGCAATTTGACCACGATACTCTGCCACCATTAGGTGACACTGAGAATGCCTAGTGATTAACTTGTTTTCAACTTCGCAGACCTCTGATGTGAATAATGATTAATAAGTATTTCTCACAGGTCAGGCCACGGTACGTAGCATTTTGCTTCCAAAACTGACTTATTTTTGTAAAGAGGTAATTTATGCATATAGGTGCCCATTTGCTAATGACGTGGAAGTGTAGAACAAGCAGCTAATACAGTCTTTAAAAAAACTTAGATGATATATCAGCCAGGTAACTATTTAACTAAAGTTAATCAGCAGTGTCCTCCTGTACTGTGCTGTACTGTTTCGTACTAAAACGCCTGTACGAACAGGCTAGAGGAAGCAGAAAAGGTTCATGTGAATGATTCAGAGTTGGGCTGCTCAGCTCTCGCTGTTCTTCCAACCTTCCATATCAATTAAGACAGACATCAGATTCTACCCACAGTTCAAAGCACCACCATCTTGATTCGAGCGTGCTGGTACATGGAAAGATGGTAGATACGTGATCATTATGTTGACCAGCTTGATCTTTTGATTTAAAGCACGATAAGAAACCTATATGGTCAAAACCCTCTTCAAAGCTTTTCGCTCAGGGGCAAAGCGTGGAGGTGAATTTAAAAAAGGAAACCTTGCTGGAGAGAGGTTGGGCATGAAAAGCAGATAAAAAGGAATATTTTCCCAAAGCAAAGAGAGGAATGTAGGTAGATGTTCTGTTAAAAAGAAGGCACATTTCTCACAGGTCCAAATAAATCTGTTTTATTTGTCTAGTCAGTTAGTTCCAAAACCTGTCATTTCTGTAACAGTTGCTTGTTATTTTGGAGTCTGCAATGATGTTTACCTGCAAGGAAGTGTTTTGGTTTACAGCAGCCCTCAATTCCTCATAATGAGGGACCACAGGCAGCAGGAGCCAGAAACCGCCCTCTCCTCTTGCTCCGTCACCCACATACCAGGGAAGAGCTGCACAAGGGACACTCTCCACACGAGGGGGCTGAATGCGAGCAGCTATGTCCCTGGGCGCTTAGCGAAGGGCATGTCAGCAGCACAGCTCACTCAGACAGGTACGGAGAATCGGCTCCGGGTGCCGAATAAAAAAAACATTTTGTTCCGTCCATAAAAACACAGCCTTTTCCTACTGGTGCTGGAGACCACATGAACCCCTATAAGCTCGGCACTGAAGTGCTTCAATATGATGCAAGAACCATAATAAACCACCAGACTGAAAACCTATTCCGTGATAGTGGGGCTGCTGGTGCAGCATGTCTGCCACATGTCACTAAGGTGAAGCTGCACTACAGTGGTGGCTGAAATGAGTCCCTTACTACATGCAAAGCTCTTTTGGATCCTTTAAAATGAAAGGATCTATATAAATGCAAGGATTTATTATTATTATTATAGTAGGCCACTTTACAGTAAGCCCTCCACACTCAGGTACTCAAGTGAATTTTGATGTACCTCATTAGCTCTGGCTGTGACTCATCTCCCACGTGTACGCATGTCCACTCATAGGACAAGTACAGCAAACCCCAGGAAGACCATGCTAGGACAGTGGGTGCTCCCAGAGAGGCCTGGCCCAGGAGCCTTCCTGCGTGCGCAAGCAGCAGTGAACTCGCCCACCCCGAGCCCAGCCCCGGTTCCCTTCCGCTCCGAGCAAGACAGCCGACCGGCAGTAACCTCTCCACTTCCAGGAGATTCCTGGCATTCTCCACCAGACAGCACACTCTGAGCAACGCTCCTTCCTCGCCGCCTCCGATTGGCCGGCAGGCGGTGGTGTGGTGTGGGCGGGCCCCCTTGTAATTTGAGCCTGCGTTTCTCACACACGCATTCTCTCCTCCCCCACCCCACCCTCGTCACCACCGGCAACACACTCGCGCTCCCAAAGCCTGAGGCTGATGCAGTCGTTTGACTCCCTCGACTCGTATCTTCTCACCACACTTCTCACCCTCCCCTCTCCTCCTTATCTAAGACTTGCTTTATTCCCTTGCACCCCCTCACACAGGCATCTCTGGCATTTGATGGTTTAGTGCTGCGTTTCCTTGCCCTCTGTGCCGTCTCCTGTCTGACCTTCAGGACATGTCTGTGCTGCAGCCGGGTGCTCCCCCCCAGTAATACTTCAGTGCTGTGGTTTCCATTTCCTAGATCAGAAAACTCAGATGAGTCACTTGTTATATGTAGGATAACATCTGTTAACTATCCACAGCCCCTCCTCCCCCCCCAAAAAAAGTCACAGACATTTACAATGGAGTATTTGAAATCGGAGACCTACTTAAAGGCTGAAGTCTTTGTAATTGTATTTAACTAAGACCAAAGAAGTATCAGATAAATAAATGTGAATTATCATTTGCCTGGTATCTGAGCAAAGCACTCTGGAAATAAATCTCAACTAGAAACCCCCTCCTCAACTGATTCACACTCTACAGCAACAGTTCATCTAAACCAGACACAAGAAAATAGCACGACAGGATTTTCTCCTGCAGCCAAGCCCAATCCAAAATAAAGAGTTTTCTAAAAAAAGACCTTAAAGCTCCTTTTCCTCAGTTCAAGAAACCAGAAATCTCCCATTGGCAGGAGCTTCTCATCTTCAGACCACAAGCCTATATAAGCCAATAATTCCGAAGAGGTTTAGACATGAAAGAACAAAAAAAAAAATGTCGCCTAATAAATCCCTACCCTCCAAACCTTGATGATAACCATCGCACTTCAATGAAAACAGTTTCTTGCCACTGCCGCAGAGATTATTTTCACTGGCAAGGCCCCAGGATAAATCTTAAAGGCTAAACTGCAGTGGCTACTGGACTGGGAGCAGAGACACCTCGCTGCTGAGCTCTTCAACAGGCTGATGCCCATGTGTGCAGCTACAGAACAGCACTGGTGGGCACAGCCTCCAGACACGCTCCATTTCCAGCTCTTAACACAGTCTTCAAAATAAATGCTTTTTCCGTTTGCACAGCCTGCTGAGAGTCAGGTCCACGTGCACATTGCTGTGCACAATCTGACCCACTCACTCATCCTGTAACATCACACTGCATCACCAGCATCAAACCGGCCACGAGACGGCCCTGTGCAGACTTACTGCACTACCGCACAGAGAGACAGAAACTGAGGGGAGGAAAAAGAACTAGATCTGTTGAGATACTCTGCACGTGAACATTTCAAGCCTCGCCGCACAGCGCTCTCAAGATAGCGTTTCCCTGGTGACCGATTAACAGACAAAATCGACAAGGGAAAGGGGAACAGGTTTGGGGGGGGGTGATCCTTGAAATTAAAAAAAAGAGATTGGACTGTACTTCAGGTGGCTAGACCTCCGATGCAGACGAGAGAACTGGAATGCAAACTGACTGACACATATTCCTCTGCGTCTCTCCACGGACTTACTGAGCCCAGAGAAGGCAGACGATGTGGAAACCCTTTCCTTAACAATGAGCAGCCCGGCAGAGGGGCCCAGAGCCTTCTACAGAAGAAATCCTGCCTTCGAAGATCAAAGACACACCATACACCTGGGAGGGGCTTGAGCATTGACTCAGTTTCTGCATCATTAACGCAAAGCCACAGCATCCCAGCTCTGGCTTCTCTCTTTTCTCTTCCTCTTCCTTCTAAAAAAAATAAAAATAAAATAGCCTTTCCATTGTGTTCACTGTTCACTTATGGAATTTCACCTCCCAGCAGAGCGCAGCGCACTTCCGCAGTCAGGTGGGCAATCCGAGGCATGAAAAAGCCGAGGGGGAATGAGGTGAACATGAAAACTCTGCACAGAATCGAACCCAGAACCCAGGAGCTCTGACCTCCCCACACTGGATCTTGTCACCATTTGCTTTACAATATTGGAATCGCTAATTATTTCTACTTCATCCTACATCTTGGGTTGGCAGCTGAATAGCTGCACACTTTCTCCTTGGAACACACACACTCTTTAATAATCATCATCATCATCATCATCATAATTGAGGTGGCGGCTGCGTCAGCATGCGTAGGCTGCAAAGGAACAAGTAAAGGTTTATTCCCTGCTGAAAAAAAAGGGAAGAAAGAGAACAATGTTTCGGCCGTGGAGCCTTCTTCAGGTGTGTCAATATAAATTATACTTTATATATAAATATAATATATAATTGCTTAAACTTATACAGCGCTTTCCTGGACACTCCACTCAAAGTGCTTTACAGCTAATGGGGATCCCCTCCACCATCACGACAGCAGCCCAAGGTAACACCCCCACTCTTTTCGAGAGACACCCTGGGATTTTCAATGACCACAGAGCATCAGGACCTCGGGTTTAAGTCTCATCTGAAGGACGGCGCCTTTTTTCAGTACAGTGTCCCCGGCACTATACTGGGGCATTAGGACTCACAATGACCGCAGGGTGAGTTCCCGCTACTGGCGCCACTAACACCTCTTCCAGCACCAGCCTTAGTTTTTCCCAGGAGGTTTCCCATCCAGGTACTGACCAGGCTCACACCTGCTGATCTTCAGTGGGCTGCCAGCCGTGAGCTGCAGGGTGATACAAAAGCTCTTTGCAAACAAAGTTGCACAGCGTCTGCGCAGGAGAGTCAGAAAAGACTGCGGGTATGGACGAGCACCCAGACCACTGCCCCAGCCCTAGGAGGTTCAGAGCAACACATGGACTGGGCAAGGACACCCCACATCCCTGTAGCCATGTCGATATCTTTGAGCTCCACTCCCACTAGCCTCTGCTCCAGAGGTAAGCCCTCTGATTCACAAAGCAGCTCTGCACTATTTCTGCTTCTCAGATAGGGAGAGACGTTTTATTCTGCTCCTTCTCTGTGCTTCTGAACTCAGACTGCTATGAGTTAACAGATTATTGAGAAATGCAAAGGCTCTCTGCAATGTTGGAAAGTCTAACAGCGAGCAGTAATATTTGCCAGGATAACGCCAATAACAGGGAGAGGCAATATGAATGAGGTACAGATGTCTCACTTGTTCACAAAGTGTTTTTGAATAACAGTTTATTGTTTTCCCCATTTCTTACTGAAGGTTGGCCATGTAAAGAAAAGAGGACAAATATTTCTTGATACCAGGAGAAAGAGTTTCGGGCTAAATCAAATTCTTGACTAAGGTGCATTTTAGCCCAAAAAGTTGTGCTTGAGCTGCACATACTAGTTTAAACAAGTTTAACAAGATCTGGATAACACCCAGCAACAGCACTTGTCAACATCCAGAGAGCGTTCAGTGCCCAAGTTAAGCTTGTCTCGTTTTTGGCCGTTTGTATATTTCAGAGGTAATACAAACTACTTCAATAATCCACCAGCATCAACACATCTAGATGAACACATGAGTAGCTCAGGCACAGACATCTGACTGTACCTTCTGTACTTAAACTCGGACTCCAGCTCCTGCAGATATAGGAGTGTCTCTAGGGGTTCAGTGATGTCACAATGAGAATACAGATGTGCTCGACACACAAAGAACAGCTTATCCTTTTATGGCAGAAAGGCATTCCAATTGTGATGGAAACTATGCTGTGTGCACATCACACGCTCACAGGCACGATCAGCTGTGATATTGCAAAAGCTATTTCTGCTTCAACAGCCTGGGCACATGCAAATATAGAAATGTAACAAGTTCTCTCTAGTGCAGTGACAGCTAACAAGGTATGCACACCAGAGGCTAATTAAGTGAAGATTTTCAACCACGCTTTACATCAAGGGTAGACAGGCCCAGTGTTTGAGGATCATAGCTCCACATTTCAACGACTCAGTCATTCATTCAGACAATAATAAGTCAAATCAGATCATCTTAGCCAAGACTAACATGCGTTTAATTGGCACCTCATATCCTGAACACAAGACAGAGCCAGTAAGAAAACAATTGGAACCGAGTCCTGTTTTTACTCTTTCCTTAACAGCTTAGGTCAGCAATCTCCAATCGTGATCCTGGGAGCTCTAAGGCAGTGGGTTCGGTAGGTCACCATTAAATCACTCATTTCTAAGGATGTAGGACAATTCCAGCATGATTGATTAAATATTCGATTTGTTAAATTCAGCAATTTACAGATTATTTAGGACTAAAATCTAAGTACTCTTTAGACTTCAAGAAGCAGAGTTCTCTTAATTGGACAGATGGCTTGCTTGATTCATCAATATCTTAGAGGCGTTGCCCATCTGTAGAAGCAGGAGACATATGCAAGACTGACTGGAATCTCCTGGACCGGGGCTGGACACCCCTGCTGTAGATACCCTGGAGCTCAGTTCTCAACACGGCTTTTACGATGTGACCTCCAGAGTGGAAAGAGCAGTACCTACCAGGGCATCATTCTTCCGTATCGGGTCCAGGGGCTCCTGCTGACGAGAAAGCCGACAGTGGGGTCAGTAATGGCATCCCAGGCCCGACCAACGAACAGGATGATGGAGGCATAGAAAGGGTCCAGCTGGCAAAGGAAAGGGAGAGAGCGGTACTTTAATGAAGAGCCATTTCTTCCATGCAGTGTAAAGCAGTATTGTAGAACTGTCTGGGTCGTAACTGGACTGCAGGCCTGGCCAGCGACAGAGGCGCCTGGGAGTTTGGACACATTGCTGTAGGATATCCTGGTGCAGACATACAAGGCAATTTCAGGAAAAACGTGCTAGTAAGTGATATTTGGGCTGAAGCCCAGTGAAGAATGAACATTGAAAATGCAATAGACACTGTGTAACCTGACTGTAATCTGCTATCCACTACAGCACTCCTACTCTCAAAGATTTTTCTTTTAGAATGTGCTGTTAAATTTCTATCTAAAGAGTATGGGGGACACATCACCCAAAATGTGTTTAAAAACCAGCTAAGACAAACCTAGGAATGCAGACATCCTTAGGAATCCCACTCCGAACCACAGAAGCACAGCCACATTTCGCCGCACTGGGCAAAGACGCCATTCAGCTCACACCCGAGCTCCATCGTACATCCCTCTGGCTGCCATACCCAATGTCTGCCACTAATCACATGCTGTTCCAAGGTCTCTGGGCACGCGAGCAGACAGAGCTCACTTTTAAATAAACATCCATTTACCCCATTCCTTTGATCCCATAAACAGCACGTGGATGTCTACGTATAAGGTCTGTGAGCTCAGATGATCTTTTCTGGCATTCTACTACCTCTCTGGGAACCAGATCTTTCATCTCGGAGTGGCAGGATTAATTGGAATCCCACTGCTTTGCTGCATTAACCCTAATCAGCATCTGAACAATAAGACAAGGCAAGCTCTACCACAGCAGGCCCTCTAACAGCACGTTCTCTTATCCTGGACAAGCTGATGAATGTCAAAAGCTATTGCAAAATGTTTCCGACTTAGACTACTTTTTTTTTAAAGCAGCGTCGTCTCCTGATTATAACTATATCTTGTCAGTGCGTTCTAGATCTATCCAGGACTGCAAGAATATGTTTTATTTCCTAAATGGAAAGTGCTTTTCTTTTATATATATATATTAGTCAAAGCGCATCAATAGCTCAGGTGCTGCTCCTGGGGTTCACATCACTTTGAAATCCAGGTCCATCCAGGCTCTCCCTGGGTAGAGTAACTCTCAGCTCGTGCGATTACAACATCAGGTAAATGAACAAATGCCGATAATGAGACAGGCCTTGAGGATGGATACAAGACTGAGCAGGACTGCGCACAAACTACACAAATGAGGCCAAGAGACAAACTGGCACAGTAACTCCACATGCAAATCCTCCTGGATATCAGCTGAAAGAACAAGACGAAACACCTGGGTTACGCAGGTCAGGCAGGTGGATTGCATACAAGAGCTCGCAGGCCTGCGAGAACCTGCACTGGCTCGGTCGCCTCGAGCGGTCCCCGCCAACGGCCGCACCACGCCAACGCGCCCAGACACGTGCCCTCACCTGTGCCACGTCCAGCAGGTAGATCTGGAGGAAGAAGCCCAGCGCGCACCCCGTGATCTGGTAGGGGGCGCCCCCGATGGCGTAGCAGATCTTGTTGCATACCGACAGCCTGGTCACCTGCTCGTGCTGCAACGCAAACAGACAGACGGGGAGAGAGGAAGCAGGGGGGGTTAATTCTGCTCATGGAAGGAAGGAGACGCCAGTGGAAACGGTGACTCGAAGGATTGCGGCACCCTTGTGCTCCAGACGCAAAAGTTAAGCAAATCCTTTCATCACTGATGATACAGTTGAGAGAGTCTATCTTTCCAAATTGCATAATATGTACATATGTAACTGTGCAACTTCTGTAGGGGTGTAGGTTTAACAAATATCAGAACTGATTTCTCTTCCTTTTAGTTCCAAAATTACAGCACGCGTGCCCACTGAGAGCACAGCAGTCCTCAGCCTCCTCCTCATTCAGCAGCAAGACACTCAGAAACGTGACATTTGTTAAAAGGCCATTTCTTCACCCTAACACTCCCCATTCCCCCCCGTCACATAAGAGGCACGACTAAACGTTCAAGAATTTGAGTAACACATAAAATAGCCCGTTTTAGTGTCTGATTACACTGCGGGCAAGATAATTGATTCCAGCTTCAGTGGTCTCCTAATTAATTTGTGCTAATTTCATTTCCAGATAATGGCATTCCTGTGCTACTTCACCTTTAACCTCTGGTCCTATTTCTGGGCCCTGACGGATTGGTCACTGTACGTTAAAAAGGAATAAGCTTCATGTACCACAGAACCACCCCCTCACTCTGCAACGCCACCGCCCCCCTCCACCAACATTAACTAGCCCTCTAGTTAAGTCAAATCCCCCGTGACATGGCATGAAATGCAGTTCTCAGCAGCAAAGGGAGGTTCTGGTCATCATTGTTTGGCCACAAGCCGCGCCCAGCTTGAACTTTCTGATTGGTTGTCACAATAGGATGTTGGAGAGCTTCACACACCAACAGTCACTATGTCAGGAGAGCACACACACCCCTCTGACACAGCCAATCAGGTTGCAGAAGCAGCTTCTCAAACCGGGTCCTGCCTAGTAAAAACCCCAGTCACATGCTAGCAAGCCCAGCAACTCTCAAATCCTCTATGCTTCTCAGTGAGATCAAGATGTAATGTTATTTAATTTTTAAGGGCCTTATAAAGACTCAGATCTATGATCTCCATTACCCCAGGCAAAGCAACAAGACCTACACAGAAAACAGCTCTAAAAAAAAAAAAGTCACTGAAATATTTAAAAGGCACTGTATACTTTCTTAAATCGATCTTTTGTGCCTAGATTGTTGTAGTGATACCGTATACAAAGCATAGTTTAAATGTTACAAATCAGTCAATATACAGAAGCACATTTTTTTTGTCTAGCTGGATAAATCCTGATCTTCCAGTTTTCATTCGAGCTCAGTTCTGGTTTCTGACTTTGTGTAAATGTATTCAAATTCCGGAGATGTCCCTGCAGCCATCGGCGCTTGCTAATTGAAAGACACCCACAGCGCCTGTCTGGGTGCTCTCAAGGACTGACCAGCAAAGTCCGGTCTCAGTCCGTCTTTCCAGTGGGCCTCGTGTGTGGGCCAGAACAGAACCAGGACCACACAGCCAGGGAAACGGAGAAGGGAGCTCGGCTCCATTTCCCACCACTGAGCTGGCGTTAGGAAAAGTAACCATCTCTGGCACCGCAGAGCAGAAACAAACGATTAGCTTAACAAAGCGCTGGATAACCTCACAGTAAGTCCAGCCTCCAGGGCCAACTGGCAACAAAGCCAACTGCCAACAAAGCAATTAAAAACAAATTTCAGACTACTTTCTCTCATTAAATTGGCTCAATGACTAAATGTGCTTTAAACCGATTTCTAGTGTTGGAAAATTTGGTCTTTTCTTACCACAGGGGGCCTGCTGGGATTGCCCAACTAAATGAATTAAAACAATGGTGGAGTTGTTTGGGGACAAATGTTAGCAGTAATACTGTGAAAACCTTATCTGCAAGTTTAACTGGCAGCATGCATGTACTAGTTAGACTGTAGGCACCAACTACAGAAAGATTTTCTTCAAATATGTGATGGAGGTTTTTTTTCCCCTCTGTGACACCTGTTAGACATGCAAGGGTCATATTGTCGGTTTCTTCAGAAAGATTCTAGAGAGAGACCAAACCTAGACAGGTGAGCTCTGTACAAATAATTACATCAAAGCCTTCCAATGTTCATCTCCTCTCAGTGATGAAACTGTTGCACTATTACCCATGTGGTGAGTGAATCCTGGAGTAATGACACCTCAGCTACTCTGTATTTGAACATGGCTTCAGGTTGGCTGCATATGACCTTCACAGGAGTCACACACGACAGACAGAAACACTCACAATCCTTTATGACTCCTGTTATAAAAGATTCATTAGTGTTCATAATACTTGGATACATTATGGTCTGTCTTTGTCTCATGGGTAGCAACAGGGTTAGGGTTATAATAGAAGTCATGTCTTTTTTTTAAAAAAAAAAATGGCTGTAAAGGACTGAATGACGTTGGAATATGTAATCAGTCCAAGTGTTACAAAGGTATTGTACATGCTACAACAGTCGGGATTCAAGCAGAGCATTACTTCATTTAAAGATGGAAAAACTCCCTTTGGCTTTATTGCAAAATGAATGGCATTCAATGTCAAGCAGTTTGGGAGTTGGCTGAAAGGTTATGTTTCAGTCCATTCTGGATATTTTTATGTTTAAACTTCATCCAAGACTTCATAAAATGAGGGAAAAAAAAAAAAGATGTTAAAAGTTCATGCAGCCTATACTATACTATCCTTCAGCTGAGCCCTTCCCTGTCCCGCCTGTCATTTCCCTCAGGTAGAAATGTGGTGGGAAACGATCCCTCCAGGCTTTGGCTTCCGAAACGAAGGCTCAGCGGGCAGATGAAGTGGTGCACTCCGTCCCTCTCCAGGCTTTTCAGCATCTGCTGTTGCGTGTTTAGCCAGCCACATCACCCCATTTCCCTTCCGTGACTCGAGAGTCACCCAACAATTACATACAACCGCCGTAAAGACAGGCCGAGCCAGGAGACATCAAGGGGTGCTTTCATGTAAGTGTGGAAGGAGGGGAGTGCATCGGCAGAATGAGAGATCAAAGTCTACACTCCATCCCTCTGGTCTACATTTCTCTCTGTCTCACTGCTTCACCCATCGCCTTGAAGCGCGAGACGGCGCGGGTGATGAAATCGAGGCCAGCAGCTCCAGGCCTCTGTCAGATGTTGGCAGTGAGGTCTCTGGCACACAGACACGTCCGCTGCCCATGTCAACAGAGCTACGAAAGCATGTCTGGAACAGAGGTTGCATCCGGCAGTCAGCTCACAGTCTGACCTCAGATAAGCCCAAAGGCTGTTAAACCAGATGGGTTTGTGTCCATGTGTCTTTTATTCAAGTGGACAAAGTGCTTCTGGAGACAGGGCACACAACAATCCAGGTCCTAGAGAGCCCCGGTCCAGAGGGCTACCAATGTCACCATTGTATCACCCACTTCCAAAGATATGGGACCGTTCCAGTGTGATCAATTAAACAGGAAACATGTTTTATTAAGTAGAGAACATTTAGGACTAAATCTCTTCTCACGCTTCAAGGACAGGTAATTGAACAGATTAATTGCCTGCCTCATTAACATCTTACAGATGCTGCCAGTCTTTACTAACAGGTAACCTGTAAGAACTGGGGTCCTCCTGTACCAGGGCTGGACACCCCTGCTGTATACAAACAACATGGATTAAATTCACAGTGTGAGATATTGTCAAAGATCTACAGCTCCCCTTGCACAGGAGGGACAAGGTCAGTAGTATACTGTATGGTGTGTGTAAGTCAATCACCTCCAATTCCCAGACGACATCAGCTATAGGAGCAGAAGAGAAAGTAAATAAACCTGACAGTCTGAATTGAACAAGGCACATGAGCTGACCACAACCGATTGCTTTAGCCATTTACTTAGGCGATAATGTCTTTTACACATAGGATTTGGAATTAACAAAATATCTGTCACACAGCCTTAATCAAATATGTGACCACTAAAAGCACAAAACAAAGTTTCCCTTTATTTATTTTTTTTACAAGAAAGCTATGTGCTACTTATCGATGTTTTGCAATACATCAGACCACAGAAAGAGCTCTTAACGATATTCTGCCACTGGAGGCCTTTATACTCACAGGATCTCACTCAGTATTAACACTCCGTGATATTATCTCAGGCTGTACCCGATTGTTTCACGGAAAGCAGGAAACAGTAAAGCAACAGAGAACGTGTAAAAGAAAAAGACGTTACAAAGTCAGCAGATCGTGGAAGGGATGGAGCAGCGATAACGTTAATGTGTTCCACCCATTTCTGTGTATAAATTGACACTATCGATGCCCGTGGAAAAGCTGCCGGATTCCCTCCGCTGAGTGACGCTTGAGCCGGACCGCACGCGCACTCGAAAGCGGACTCGGACCGGTGGAGCAGCAAAGGCTCGAGTCCGGCGTCCAGCGCGTTTCCTGCAAACCGATGAATGAACACCGACTTCAGCACAGAGCAGGAGTCTACAAGTGAAACCGTTTACATCGACATCCTTCCGGCGCTGCTAGAATACTGACTTACTCAGCCCCGACTCTGTGCAGCGCACACCCACTTAACGAAATATTTTTCACGAACCTATCGGTGCCCGAGTGACACGTATTGCACGCTTGGGCAACGCGATCTGCGAGAAAAAACGACCTGTACCGAGCGAAATTGCACAGAAGAATGATGTAATCGACGCTATACGGTTAATTCTTCAGGTTAAGGATAAGGCGCTATCGGTTTCCAACTGTTACTGAACTGCTAGGAGCAGCTGTTGAAGAGAAAAGGGGCGATTCATCTTTAAACCCGGCAGGTCCTAATCCGGCAAATGAATGCGAGGGTTGGATCGGTGTTAATACCAAATAATCACGCAGGGGGAAAAAACCTAACCATCAATCTCTTTTTTTTCTGGCTACAGAGACGAGAGGTCAAAAGCTCTGAGCATAATGCCGACGCCTAAAACTGTGTGCAAACTTGGCAAGAGCAGACTGTAAATCCCCGGTTGACTTCATCCGAGCCACATGTTTCAAGTCCAGATCGGAGGAAATTTAATTTTCTTACAAGGGATTTTTTTTAAAGATAAAAGAATTAAGAAAACGACAGCGTGTACTCGGGGATGAAGACCTGGGTGTTACCGATATTAACACATTTTAACAACGCGGTTCAGTCTCCTTATCATTCAGAACTGGCGCGGACAGTTCGTAAACTCCCTGCTCCAGGATTGTAGCTGGGGGGTTTGCCATACGGTATTTTTGTGCGTTTGGGGCACCAAACAAAAACAAAAAGACTAAAAGCAGTGCCTTGTGGAAACTTGGTATAGAGCACTGATCACTGCGTGTTTCACAACCACGAAAATATTTGCATTCCACTACAGTCACCGAAGGAAGTTTAATAATAATATTAAAATAAGAATTACCTTAACGGCTAATTTGATCCCGTCTGGACTTGTCGGTTTTTGTAATAAATTCGCAGCAGAATACTGTTCCACACCTTCTCCCTTAGCCATTGGTTAGGCTATGAGTCGTTAACCGAATAAGCTGCTCTCGGTGACAGAGCCGATGTATCAGAGCAGTTACAGCAGTCTGTCTCCCGGAGTGCGCCCTGACTTTTCAGAGTATGAATTGAATCACTCTGTCACCGTGGTTGTAATACTATTGCTGCTGCTGTCGACACGCCCACAGTCGCCTTTTTAACATTTAACCCTTTAAAGCGCAAACACGACAGAAGATAAAGTGTGCGCCTATGACTAGAACAAAATAATTTAGCACATTTGAAGGGATATTAAAGTCATTAATTTAATGTCACATAACCTTCATGCGCAGAAATAAGACCGTCTACGTGGTGAAGAGTTCAAACATCCCGTGTTGTCCGAACAACGTGCTCTTTCTGTCGCTCCTACCATCTTCACCTTGCTTTGAAGCTAGGAGCGGGGATTTTAACGCCTGTTTGTTTTATCAACAAAGGCACTATACTGTTTCTAAAGAGTCTTATTTCATTATACACTGGGAGTGGAAAAGTACGGTCTATAAGTCACCTGATGTCATAACTAACACCTCTTCTGTATAGCGCCTATGGGTGCTGTTTATTTCCTGCGCGTCCTTTTACAACGCGCTTCATAGAATTTACTTTATAGAACGCGTATTTCAACAACAACGACTTTTTTTAAAAAAACCGTTCAATTAAAACGATTTTAAACTCCCAAACGTAATTAAGAACGAAATTAACAGTGGGAGCAGGTGTGCGATTTGCATCCATTCCAAGGCAAGGCGCTGTTTTTGTGCTGGCAGCAGCTAGGTTAAAATGATTTTACTTTAATTGTGCTCTCGTCACCTTCATCTGCAACGTCAGTAGGCGCTGTTTAGAAGCAATGCATTATGATGAGGTGTTTTTTGGCATCCGCTCCGGTTTCTACAGTTCTGATGCCCCCCTGGCAACTCAGCTGTTCGTACTTGCTTGATTACAAGAACTAGCGGTAACTTAATTCAGTGGGGAAAATAACCTTTAGGGCCAAGGCACATGAAAATCGAGTTTTTTTTTATAAATGAAAATGTCATCCTTTCATAATATAGTGCCTTTTGCGAGTGCAGTGTCATTTACTTGATAATCACTTAAGTTTGTGATGTCGGGGAAGCGTTCTGGTTGACTTTACATGTGGCCTGACACTCCGAGGTCGTGGAATATAGTTTCATTCGGATGCTGTTATAAATACTTCAACAGCTGACTGTGGTACAGTAATAGTACGGATGTGCTTAGTTTGACGTTTCAATTCTAACATGCAAACTGCGAATCTACCATTGGGTTTTTTCATTTGGGTTTCCCTAAAAAAAAAACCATTGTCGGATACTGTTGACCGGGACCTCTACAGTCCTTAATGTTAAAAAATACGCTTCACTGTTCCTGACAAGAGTCGCCGCTTTGAATTTTGCGAAGACCGTCGCTCTTTAATAAATCTGATATTCGCGCTTCGGTCTATGCAGTTATACTCCCAGGAGTTCTAGATTCTGCACGATCTCTCCCTGACAGTGTATGACGCGCTTAATGTCGTTCAGGATAGGGATTCGAGGAAAACACCGAGGTAATTGTCGCCTCATGAACAGGTTAACAAACACCAATTTAGGAAAAAAAACCTATGCGTGCAATAATAGGAGATGAAATGAGATGGTGGGGGGAAATCGACATATTGTGCTCTTACAGATGCACATTCGGAGCCTCGGGCCGGAGAGACCGAGCGCGGCGGCTCAAAGACACTCCACGCGGCGCGACAAGGTCTCAGGGTCCGCCACGTGGCCACGTCGGGGCTGTTTGCTCGCGGGCTGGCTCGAGCACTGCGTGGATGCGCTGTCAAAGTCAAGTTCCCCACAGCTGGCGACGCGCGCCGGGAAGCTCGTTCCCCTGCTGGCGGGGTTTAAACCACGGAAACGTCCACAACAACGGCGCCAATAGTGAACAGATTTAAGGTCGTCCGAATCTCTAGCCTTCATAGCCGTTTATCCCCCCCCCGAGCGCATAGCACATTGCCTACAGGACGGGGTCGACGTCATCTACATCCGAAGTGCAGAATCGCCTGACAACACGAGGGAGCGCAAGCACACTGCGCATCCAGCGGCAAACTGACAAATCGCTGCACCAGGTGCATTAAGTGGGGTGACTTCACGCAGGCCAAACCGCGCAACCCCAGCGTGGAACGTAATTAAATTAACACCAATATTTTTTTTTCAAATGCAAACACGTCTATCAGCACGACCGGTAAATTAGAGTCTTCACTTCTACCTGACCAGAGAGAGAGAGAGAGGAACCCCGTCTCAGCCAAGCACTTAACTCAAAAGAGAAAGTTTAAACTGAGTCCGCTTCTTCGCTGCCTGTTCTACCTGCTCCAGTCTACGGCGCTGCATCTTCCTGTGTCTCCACGCATTCAGGAGTATTTCACACGCAGCAATGAACAGCTGACCGACAGCAGGGCCTGCTTTTAATATCGCTAAATACTCCTGGCAACAGCAGCAGGACCACGGTGCTATCAATCTGCATTCATTCTACCTGCAGAGTTAATACCCTGTAGCCTCTCTGAAACCAAGCAGCAGCGGGTGCCAGGTGTATCACTACTGGGATAAGAGAGTCTTTATTTTTACATTCTTATTCTGTTTACTGTGACAAACTCGTACCAATTTGATTGCACAAGGCTCCTACAGTCTTATTCTGAATTAATTATCTCATTAACGATTGTCATTAATCCAATTAATCGTATTATCCAATTAGACTCCATTATCTTTTGAGTATATCTCAATTGAATACGTTTTATAACAAGTATACAATGCAGCTGTGGCTGCTCGGTGTGTCTCATTCACATTTTTCATCTTGGGGGCGATTGTACACCTTTGGTGAAATTTCAATTGCAGAGCAAATGGGATTACCTCTAAAAGCTGTTACCCAACCTAATCCTTAACTGGAAATAGTTCATCGCTGTGCTGGGTGGTTTAGCGGGCAAATCGCTGGATTTAATACTGTAGTGCTAAATGAAAGCCAACTTAGTCACCTGCACAATAACAGACTGCTGCAAGACCTTGGTTTTGGTTTTTCACGTCGGACTGATGTCTTCTGTGCCTGCTTTGGGCAGGATCCCCCGCAGCTGCGGTGATCATGGATGTAAATACTACTGCTGTGAGCACTTACACCTGCAGCGCTTAGAGTGCGGTTGACACCAAATGCACTTAATTGCTGTTTCCAAGACATTCCCCATCAGCCAAGAGCTAGTAAAATCCTGTGGGAGGCCCTGCTGGAATGGTCTGGAAGTGTCACGCGCTCACTGAAGAGGAGGGCGAAGGCTCCCCTGCAAGTAGGGGATCGGGTGATCGCGGCCGAGGCCCTGCCCCGCGCCCCCGGCCCCCCTCCAGCAGGGCGGTCGCTCTCTCAGCTGCCAGGGGTGTGCCGAGGGAGCTCTCTAACCCCGCTCGGCCGGCTCGAACCCGCCCCCTCAGGCACCAGAGGGGCGTCTGACCGAAGGCCGGCCGCTGCCAGGCGCCCCAGCCCCCCGCTGGACCAGTGTCAGCTGGGCGCCCTGCCGGGGCTTCATGAGCCAGAGCCCAGTGCCAGAGGGGGAGGTTTGCCGGCACCGTTTGGGATGGCGCAATGGACAGGAGTCCAGGGCGCTGCGCAGGGTGTGCGCTTTGTGTAGATGTTTGTGGCGCTCTTTGCTGAAGGATTTGTTTAAGGAGGGATTTTGTTTTCCTACCTCTTCTGTTTGCACGGGGTGGGAGTTAAGGGGGGCTGACCGCTGGAGATATAAAAATAAACAGTTTTTTTTTTTTTACGGCCTGCCACCAATGTTTGTAAAGTTTTGTGGTTCATGAACCTTCACGATAGTCTTGGCACTGGATGAGGTAAAAATCTGTTTGCTATGAGAATCCCAGTTCACCCATAAGCAAATTACTGAATCCACTTTCTCTTTCCGGTACCAGAAATCACATCATATTAATTCTATTCGATTGTGTCCTGAGAGGAGCATTCTGGTCTTGGTGCCATCGGCTACTTATTATAAAATATAGAAGATCTGTTAAATAATGACTTTTATTTTTCTTTTCTTCAAGACCTGCCTTCGTTCTCCTGAGTGCTTCCTAGTGCTCCATTGCCCTAGTAGAGTCTTCACTACTTCTGTATTTTGCTTTACAACACTTCAAACAATGTCTTCATCCTGCATTTGCTACAGCCGTCTAGTATATTTCTCCACTTTGAGCTCCCACAACAAATTTGAAAATCAAATATTCCTGTGTGCTTCGTGATAAATCCACGTATCTTCAAAACACACTTATCACTTAGAACCATAAAAAAAGTTATCAGGAAACTGACTTCTGTTTTGTAGCAGAGCCAACATGTTATGGAATAGACATTCAAAATGCAGATGAACATTTGTCACCAACAGGGTCAATTAACAGAGGGTGTGCTTGAATGTCACAAGCTATTGTGGCCACTGTTGGTAACAATTCAAATTGCCAGTCTGAGATACCTCCTTTGCACCAGGTTCGAGATACTGTTGTATCGCAGTGCCACACTCACTGATGTACCTGTGGCTGGTTGACGCAAAACCATCACTAAAGAGGACGTGGCTCCATTGCTGTCTTGTCCAAGTGAGGTGTTGCTCACACCATGCCATTCTGTTCTGTTGATGAGCATTAGGGGGGCAGAGCGGTGGCTCTGTGGCTCAGGATCTGCGCCTGTGGCTGGAAGGTTGCCGGTTCAAATTCTGTGGCTGGTAGTGGAATCCTACTCTGTTGGGCCCCTGAGCAAGGCCCTTAACCCCAACTGCGCCAGGGGTGCCATATAAATGGCTGACCCTGCGCTCTGACCCCAAGCTTCTCTGTGTGTGTGTCTCATGGAGAGCAAGCTGGGGTATGTGAAAAGACAAATTCCTAATGCAAGATCTTATCTTATCTAGTGAGCACTGAGCCCCAGTGTGGTTGTGTGGCTTGCAGTTGAACTGCTGATGTGTGGGTCATAGTGACCAGGAGCTTCTGAGGCAGTGGAACTGGCAGAGGGAAAATGATTACATAGATGGAGCATGATGATAAGGTGATGCGAAGCATCACGTCCAGGTGGAAGAAGTGGTCTTCCCCGAGTACCTGCTAGATGTTATTCCAGCCAAGCTCAATTACTTAACTGAA